AGCAAGCCGCTGACCGAGACTGAACTAGGTGAGGGGATGACCGGAGAGCGCAGCGAGCATTTATTTTTAGTTTGGCGCCATAAAAGTCGTATAAAACGTCAGGAAGCTGAGGTCAGAAGGTGAAGCTGAACTCTGCGCTGGTGTACAAGACGCGGTTTCCTATTGGCCGTCACCTGCTAGAGTCTTCTAGTAGGTACCGGCCCATGAATAATAACTGGACAGAGCCGGCCGTGACGTCACGGCCGGCTCTTCCCGGTTGTTATTGTTTAATGACAGTTCAGCGTCCCCGGGTCATTTGGGGACCGCTGATCTGTCATTACAACCGGGCGGAGCCACGACTGGCTCCGCCCAGCTGTCATTTGCGGGACGAAAGGCCGGCCTTCGGCAGGCCGATCCCCCTGCTTCGGCTGTCACTTTGAAGCATATGCGTTCGGCTCGGCTGAGCCGCTCGGCCGCCTTCGGATGCTGTACCGACTGAACCCGAAGGGCTCCTGCAACCGAGGCGAGTCGGAGGATCAGCCCGAAGCTACGGCTTGATCCTTCGGCAGCTTTGTGAATGACCCTGAGAGGAAGGAAATACCAGAGCCAGGGGCGTAACTAGAAATCACAGGGCCCCATAGCAAAATTTTGTATGGGGCCCCGTGATTGCTAGTTATGCCACTTGCACTCTCCGCCCAAGCGGAAAGTGACCCTGCAGAGCCCATCATAGACTATCTATGGTGGGCTCTGCAGGGTCTGAGATCTCTTACCTGTCAGCGCCTCTGTGGTCGCCGGGGCCCGACTCCTGTTCCGTCCCCGGGCCCCGCCTCCTCTGCTTTCGACGGGCCCCGCCTTCCCTTACATCACTGGCCCCACCTGCTCTTAGGTCGCTGGCCAGTGATGTATGAGGAGGCGCGGCCGAAGCGGCTGGCGGTCACTGACACAGCTCCGAAGCGGCTATGAGGAGAAATGCGCCGTGGCCGCTGCTGAGCTGTGTTTTTCGGCCGTTGCCAGTCCCACCTGTGCCTGGGCCCCATAGCGGCCGCCTGGGTCGCTATGGCGATTGTTACGCCACTGACCAGAGCATTCCAGCTTAAAGGAAATAACTTGTATGTAACACAGGAGCAATTATCAAGTGGAAGGGAAGCTTCCATCAGGGGAAGCAGAGCTGCCATTGCTAATCCTACATCCGAAAATGCTAGTTGCTGGGCAATCATGTTAGGCTGCTCAGTACTAGGAGTCTCCGACTTGGAAAAAGTATGCAGATAAAGACATTGGCCCTTCCTCCGATGTTCCTGATACAGAATCAGCGGCACAACCTGTTTTCTCTTTCTGGGGCAGGACCCTCCTTACCATCTTGTCTTGAATTGTATTGTGATTGTAATGTCTTCCTTATATTGTAAAGCGCTGCGCAAACTGTTGGCGCTATATAAATCCTGTATAATAATAATAATATCACTGCACACAAGGAAATTTACAGGGTTATTCCTGAAAAGGGTGAAGAGTTTGGAGAAGTCAGGAGAAGGGAACAATAGGACAACAAAGCTGAACCGGAAAGTGAGATGAATTGGAGAATTGTTCCAAATCGGCGATGTTGTCCTACATTGTTCCCTTCTCCGGTCTTCTCCAAGGTCTTCACCTCTTTCGGGAATAACCTTGTTATAGTTTTATCTGCAGATCGGCCTCGGCCCTCTGTACCAAGCCTGATCTACAGCTGCCACCTAGTGTCTCCTTCCGGACATCGCTCAAACCTGCTAACAGTGAAAGGATAGAAAAGAATAAAAGAGCATAAAAAAAAAGAAGAAGAAGAAGGAGAAGAAGAAGAAGAAGGAGACGGAGAAGAAGGAGAAGAAGAAGGAGAAGGAGAAGGAGAAGAAGGAGGAGAAGGAGAAGGAGAAGAAGAAGGAAAAGGAGAAGAAGAAGGAAAAGGAGAAGAAGGAGAAGGAGAAGAAGAAGGAGAAGAAGAAGAAGAAGGAGAAGGAGAAGGAGAAGGAGAAGGAGAAGGAGAAGGAGAAGGAGAAGAAGAAGGAGAAGGAGAAGGAGAAGAAGAAGGAGAAGAAGGAGAAGAAGGAAAAGAAGAAGGAGAAGAAGAAGGAGAAGGAGAAGGAGAAGAAGAAGGAGAAGAAGGAGAAGAAGGAAAAGAAGAAGAAGAAGAAGAAGAAGGAGAAGGAGAAGAAGGAGAAGGAGAAGAAGAAGAAGGAGGAGAAGGAGAAGGAGAAGAAGAAGGAAAAGGAGAAGAAGAAGGAAAAGGAGAAGAAGAAGAAGGAGAAGAAGAAGGAGAAGGAGAAGGAGAAGGAGAAGAAGAAGAAGGAGAAGAAGAAGAAGAAGAAGGAGATAGTTTCAACTCCGCTCAAGCAAGTTTGACAAATATTAACGTTTACCCTTCTCCTGTTGCCCATTGTCTTCCGTGCCCAACCGTTCTTACATGGCTGTCGATGCCAAATTCAGACGCAGAACGAGAAGAGTTACATTGAAGCATTCCTGCCATTTGTCTCCAGATCCTAAATTCTCTCTATCAATATCTCTTTCTATCTATATATATATATGTGTTGGAAGTCTAACTTCTAAGCCGGAATTTGTGGGAGGAGTCTTTCTCCTTTGTATTCTCCTGTATGCCGCGCTCACCTGTCGGCTTCCCCTCCCTCCCCTCTTCTCTTTCTCTGCATCCTTCTTCAGTATGTCCCCTTTTTTGGGTCTACTGTCCTCCCTGATCATGGCACACCTCAGGTCAGATCACGACGTTTCAGATTCGTTTTTAGACTCCTCACACAAATACTATATACATATATATATATATACACTACATTGCCAAAAGTATTGGGACGCCGGTCTTTACACGCACATGAAACTTTATTGGCATCTTAGTCCGTAGGGTTCAGTATTGGGTTGGCTCCGCCCTTTGCCGCTATAACAGCCCCGCCTCTTCTGGGAAGGCGTCCACAAGGTTTAGGAGTGTGCCTATGGGAATGTTGGACCATTTGTGAGGTCAGGTACTGATGTTGGGGGAGGGGCTCGCAGTCTCCGCTCTAATTCATCCCAAAGGTGTTCTATGGGGTTGAGGTCAGGACTCTGTGCGGCCAGTCACGTTCCTCCCCCCCAAACTCCCCCATCCATGTCTTTATGGACCTTGCTTTGTGTACTGGTGCGCAGTCATGTTGGAAAAGGAAGGGGCCGTCCCCAAACTCCTCCCACAAAGTTGGGAGCATGAAATTGTCCAAAATGTCTTGGTGTGCTGATGCCTTAAGAGTTCCCTTCACTGGAACAAAGGGGCGGAGCCCAACCCCTGAAAAAACCTGAAACCCATTCCATGAAGCTCTCTACGCACTGTTGTTGTGCCAATCTGAAGGCCGCATGGAGTTTGGAGGTCTGTAGCTATTGGCTCTGCAGACAGTCGGCGACTTCTGCGCACTGTGCGCTTCAGCATGCGCTGACCCCGCTCTGTCATGTGACGCGGCCGACCACTTCCTGGCTGAGTTGCTGTTGTTCCCAGTTGCTTCCACTTTGTTATAATACCAGTAACAGGCGACCGCGGAATATTTAGTAGCCAGGAAATGTCACGGAACTCCCGAATCCAATGATTTGGAGGGGGAGGGGCCCAATACTTCTGGCAATATAGTGTGTGTGTGTGTATATATATATATATTTGTCCTGGTGTCCACTTTGAGTTGTCACTGGAACAGGAAATCTTCCAGTGGGGACACTTGTTCCGGGGAGAACTGAATAAGAGGGGAATTCCCCCTACTTTAAGTGATTGCCTCTTACTTCCTGTTGTGACCACAGGACAAGAAGGAAAAGGACATTTCTCAATGGGAAACTGCAAAAAAATCACTTATCACAAAATTAAATAATAATAAAAAAAATTGGCTATTTTAATACTTTTATTAAAAAAACATTTTTTTCTACCTTATGATATAAGATTTGTGACTTTATTATTTTACCACATGGGGTTTTGTTCCAGGATTTCGCAGCTTCTGCGTAATTCTCAGATTTTTAGATTCTGATAAATAGTTTTTGAACCCCGGGGAGTGTTTTCCTCGCGAAAAGGTTGCGGAGCGCTGTAGATGGAAAGAAAAGTCGGTTAGGCGCACGGCGATGTAAGAAAAGAGACACAGGAAGGGAAGCATCAGATACAGACGCATCCTACGTGGGTTTCTGTTTCCTGTACAGTACGGATCTCAGACACGGCAGCAGACGACATTATAAAAACTATATGTACCTCGAGAATTCGGGCTATGGAAATCTTCGGTGGGGGAGGGGAGGGGGACTTCCCATGAGACATCTGTAAAGTAGAAGACGCAGATGTCTGGAGACAAGGGGGCCTTTGTCCACGGTGCTTAGGGTGAGTTAAGCGTGGGATGCCGTGGTGTAAAGCGCGCCGCCACTGGACTCTAGAGAAGAGGAGGCGTGTTCTCTGGAGTGACCAATCACGCTCCTCTGTCTGGCAATCCGATGGGCGTGTCTGGGTTTGGCGGTTGCCAGGAGAACGGTACTTGCCTGACTGCATTGTGCCAAGTGTAAAGTTTGGTGGAGGGGGGATTATGGTGTGTGGAGGGGGATTTCAGGCTGGCCAGAGCATCGCAGGTTGCTTAGAGCCAGGCGGGGAGATGTGTATGGGTCATAAACATCTCCGCACCCGGCTTTTAGCAGCCAGAGCGGGCAGGAAGATGTGTATGAAGGCTGAATGCTACGGCCGGCATCCTGCCCAGCTCCTGCCAACCAGTGATGTTGCCGGTTGCCAGGAGCTGGGTGGGACACCGGCCAGAGCATCGCAGGTTGCTTAGAGCCAGGCAGGGAGATGTGAATGGTCCTTATACATCTCCTCATCTTAGCAACCTGGGACGCTTTGGTAGACGTCCCGCCCATCTTCTGGCAACCAGTGATGTCTCTGGTTGCCAGAAGCTGGGCGGGATGCCAGGGGTGCAGGTTTTTGTAGATATCCCTCTGCATGGAAGCCCGGCTCCTAGAATGTTTGAGCTGAAATGCATTAACCTTTTATTTCAACAGCGAATTAAAAGGACCAGATGCCCAGCCCCCAAGCCAGCAAGTTGACTCCGGCTTCGTCTGCGGAAAGCGACAGTCAGCCGGATGAGAAAGGAAAGGGGCAAATTAGCCAATGGAATCGCAGAGGTGCCGGCGTTGGCTCCCAGATGCATCAGGTAGGGTCACGGCGTGTCCTGGGTGTTGATAAAGCTTTTTTTTTTTTCAACCTAAAATCTCAAAAATAATTTAAAGGATCCTGTCTTCACAGCCCCATCAGCATCCCTACATCATGGCCAACCCATCCGCCTCCTTCAGCTCCACTTCTTACCTGCGGGCCATGCTCCATGACAGCAAGCAGGCGGTGGTGATCCATCCGGTGAGTTCATCTTCACTAGACATAAGCACATTGTTGGCAATCTGCTGAAATATTAACTCAACTGACTGCCACAGCTCAACCAAAGTGATTCAGATACCTGAGGGAGCACTATCCAATGTAGTGCTGACCCCCAATGTAAGGGACATTCTTCCCACTGACCCCCAATGTAAGGAGCATTCCCCCCACTGACCACCAATGTAAGGAGCATTCTTCCCACTGACCACCAATGTAAGGAGCATTCTTCCCACCGACCACCAACGTAAGGAGCATTCTTCCCACTGACCACCAATGTAAGGTGCACCGGCCCTGGGTGTGGAATTCCCATCTCGGGACACACAGTTCCGGGAGCCGGGCGGGCAGTTGTCCTCTACATTTACCCCCGCTTTGGACAAGGAGAGCTAAATGTAGAGCGGGGAAGCCGCCGCTCGTTTTGTACAAGTGATCCCGGTGACGTCGCTGAGATCACTTGTATGCAGCCTGCAGGTCTGCCAATCTCCATTGGTCAGCTTTTGTTTCATTCGCTCATCCGTTGCGTTACATAGATGTGTTCTCTTTGGTTTTTAAAGGGGTGGCGGGCCGTGGTAAGGCCGTGCAGCCATTTTATAACCGGGCTCCCGAGTCTCCAGCATGCCCCGACAATGCTGCAGCGGAATGCAAAGAGGGTTCCCTTTAAGATTTAATCCATTGTAGGCGGGCTTGGCATTCCTTCAAACAACAGGCAGTGAGATATTAAAGATCACACAAAGTTCCTCAACTTAAAAAAAAGTATTTTCCAGAACAATTAGGTGGGCGGTAGACGATAATTATTATGACATTTACGGCGCTGTGTCACAATTTTCTCGCCTTTTCTTTTTTTCCCCGAAAAGAGACAATCAGCGCGTCTCATGTTTCAAAGCCTCCCCCTGTAATTCTTGTCTATCACGGCAGCACCCATTTAGAAGCCGTAACTCTCGGGAGCCGCCATAGAGCGTTCGCTTTGTCAAACGTGAAACTATCTGTTACTATTAGGGATGCACCGATATATATCGGTCGCCGAAACGTGTCGGCCGAAAATGGCACTTTTGGCTAAATGCAGAAAGTGCCATTTTTGTGCCGCTACGTGGGCTCATCTGTAGTCTCTCTCCTCCCCGCTGGGCGCTGCTCTGTGTCCCAGCGGGGCCGAGCGCTGCGGGATGAGAGCGCCGTGAGCGGCCGGCGTCTCTCCTCCCACACCGCTCAGCCGCCTATCACATAAAAATTTAAATAAAAACATTTTTTATGGGGTTTTTTTATGAGACTGTGAAGTTATTTTGGGGGTTCCTTACTTTTACCTGTAGATTTATCCATCATTTTAATCGCACACTCTGGCAGGATTTGGGTTTTACATGCTATCGCCCGCCCTAAAAGATTCCTCTCGGAACTAAGGATGTATTACTATTGGTGAATCCACGACACGGATTAATTAGGGCCATTCAGAGTCTTGCTTTCTAAGCCCTCGTTCACACCTGAACGTTTTGTAGCGCGTTCTACGCTCGACGAATGCTCTACAAAACGCTCAAAAATATAAATCCCATTGTATTCAATGGGTCTCGTTCCCACCTTGGCGTATTTCCGCCCGTCCCCAACGCGCTACAAAACAGCCCACGCCTGAAAAGGTCCAGGTGCTACTTTGGGCCGTTTTGTTGCGCGTTTCCATTGGGATACAGCCAAGTAGCCTTCGGAAACGCGCGTTTGTCGCGCGACTTTTTTACCGTGAATCGCGGCAGACGCGCATATGCAATACGCCTAGGTGTGAACGAGACCTAACGGATGACTAAGTTAAAAAAAAAGGAGGTCATATAATTTATCACTATCTATGACACTGTTGGAGAGACTTCCTGTCTCAGTGACCACACAGGAAGTAAGTGAAAACGTACCCAATGGATACAATGCAGCAATAAACCCTTCGCTTTCTCCATCCAAAACCTAAAAAAAAATAAAAAATGGCGGAACTATAATAAAACAAAGAACAAGATGATGAATGTCTGGGTTAGATCCACTGATAACACGGAACCACTAGGAACCAGTAAGAGTGCCAATCACCTGTATTTTATTTTCTTCACAGTTCACCAGAGACCATGCCTCCCAGTCTTCTGTCCTTCACTTGGCACCCTCAGCCTCATCCTCCTCCATACTCAACATGCAGCCAACAAGATTGTTCCCATTAGTGACCAAACACAAGCAACACGCCGCTGTGCAAGGTAGATATATTCACCGAGTACTCTCCATGTTCTGGTACAGAAGACCTCGCCTTGTGATCACTTGATGTGTACAGTTGGTGGGGAGGGGGGGGGAGAGAAGGGAAAGGGAGGACATGATTGAGACCTTTCAATACATAAAGGGTGTGAATAAGGTTCAGGTGGGCACAGGGCTGTAGCTATCATGGGGCGATTGAGGCACTCGCCTCAGGCGCAGCTGAAAGGGGGCCGCAGCCAGGGCCAGCCTGGCTGCATCCCTGTTGCCATGGCGAGCACAGGGCGCACTTGGCAACAGGGGCACCAGTCGGCCAACACAGCCGCGGCTCGGCAGGGAGAAGAGGAGCGGAATAGGCCCCCAGCTAATACCATGCAGCCATTTTATAACTGGGCTTCCAAGTCTCCAGGATGCCCCCAACAATGCTGCAGTGGAATGCAAGATGGTTCCCTTTAAGATGAATCCATTGTAGGCGGGTTTGGCATTTCCGGGCACCGGGCGGGTAGTTGTTCTCTACATTTAGCCCTGCTGTGGGCAAGCAGAGGTAAATGTACAGCGGGGAAGCCGCCGATTGTTTTGTACAAGTGATCCCGGTGATGTTGTCTGCCTGCCTGTCTTTGGCTTAAGACACTGAACGGCAACAAGCATAGACATCGGGAGATTCGGAGTGAAGCCAGAACTCTGCATACTTGTCCCATGTCAGTGATATAGAAACTTCAGAAGGCTTTAGGTCTTATTGACGACCAGAGAACTTGTCTATTCTGAAGGAGAGGCCATCATTGTCAGCGTTCAGGCTTTTTTTTTCACTACAGGTTCCTTTTAAGTGATGAACGATGCCCATAGGAGTGCGCACAGGGTGTGCCTGGGCACACCCCGACCACCACACGCAACACCAAAAACCGCAACAGCGGGCGCCGTGTTTTTAATCACTGAGCCGCTGGTCAGTGATTAAAAATCACAAAGATCTCTCCGTGACCGCAGCTCGGCGATACAGAGCGCAGCAGCACTCGCCACTTGCATTCAACACATAACAGCAGCAGTAGTCGGTGAAGGAGCGTGGCTGCGGTTTCCCAGGCTTCCCATCCAATCAGAAAGCCAGGCAGGTGGTCACTTGACCACCTGCCAGGCTCCCTGCTTCAATACAAGATCCCAGCTGGATTAGGTAAGGGATAGCTGAAGAGATGGGAATCTGGGATGCCCGAGGTCTTAGTGTGTGTGTGTATGTACAGTATGTGTATGTATGTACAGTATGTGTATGTATGTATATATGTATGTATAATATACACGCGTGTGTGTTTGTACTTTTGTGTGCACACTCTTATGCAATAGGCTGCGCACGCCTATGACTATGACTGAAGAATGCAGCTATTACCCCAACACATTGGGTGGCTGACTTATATGTATAATAGCTGAGCCCTTAGGTAAGATTCAGCTAGTTGATATTGATTGGACTCACGAGCGACACACCCAAAGTAAAATCTTTGATCCACCCTTGACTTTCCCCCCCATGCACATCTAACCGTGTCTAACATGTTCTGAAACTGATAATCCCGGTGCAGGAATGAAGCCCGGAAGCCTGGGATGGGTCCAACATGAGTCAAGCTCTGGAAAAAATCAAGAGGACGATGTCAATAAGAAAGGCACCGTGCCTTCCTATGGGCAGGAACATCCGAAAAACATTGAGCATGTCCGGAGCAACACCACCAATGATGGACAGGACAAGGACGGGTCAGTAGATCTCTCCTGTGTGTGTGTGTGTATGACCTATGTAGAGGCCATTTTCATTTGCACACTACTTTTACATTTCGACACTTCTTCTCCGTTGGAACACTGTTCCATTTCCCATTCGGACAATTTTCCCATTTACATTTGAACGCCACTTTGAAATTTTACATTTGAATCATTATTCAGCAGCCTGCCACCAGTGGTGTATGTTGGTTTTGGGCTGCCCTAGGCCAGACTGAACTCGTGCACCCCCATCAATCTAAATTTGCCCCGCCCCTTCCTGTTTAGGACATTTTGCACAAAACCCGTCAGTTACTGGATACAGCACACACAAGGTCTCAGGACAGCTGTGCATTGTCTCTGGTGGGCTGTACAGGGTCTATGATGGGCTGTGCAGGGTTTATGGTGGGCTGTGCAGGGTTTATGGTGGGCTGTGTGGGGTCTATGATGGGCTGTGTGGGGTCTATGATGGGCTGTACAGGGTTTATGGTGGGCTGTGTGGGGTCTATGATGGGCTGTGTGGGGTCTATGGTGGGCTGTACAGGGTCTCAGGTGAGCTGTGCAGGGTTTATGGTGGGCTGTGTGGGGTCTATGATGGGCTGTACAGGGTCTCAGGTGAGCTGTGCAGGGGTCTATGATGGGCTGTGTGGGGTTTATGGTGGGCTGTGCAGGGTCTATGATGGGCTGTGCAGGGTTTATGGTGGGCTGTGTGGGGTCTATGATGGGCTGTGTGGGGTCTATGATGGGCTGTGCAGGATTTATGGTGGGCTATGCAAGGTCTCAGGAGAGCTGTGCAGGGTCTATGATGGGCTGTGTGGGGTCTATGATGGGCTGTGTGGGGTCTATGATGGGCTGTGCAGGGTTTATGGTGGGCTGTGCAGGGTCTCAGGAGAGCTGTGCAGGGTTTTGGCCCACCGTGCAAGTGCCAAGTATGCCAAAAGGTAAGTCCGGCTGTTTGCAGAACCTGCCGCCCCCCTGGAAAGTGCCGCCCTAGGCAAATGCCTAGTCTGCCTTGGGGTAGATACACCCCTGTCTGCCACTCCTAAGATGTGGTGGCTGCATTCACTTTTTTTTTTTTTCAGGCTGAGAACATTTTCAGCAAGTTCAGACAAATACCTGCTGATCTTGCCAGAAATGACACTGTCCTTGGCTTGGACGGAAATTGTATATATGGAAACTTCTAATCCCATGACCCTCCATGCAATGGATGGACAAAGACAGCCATGTGTGTAGTCGAGCCTGGCAGGCAACCATGGCTCCCTCCATAGATACAATTAAGTGAGTGTGTGTAGTAGGGTTGGTACCTTTTCTTTTGAGAAAATACAGGAGAGGGAGGAGAGACAGCCAGGGGAGAGACAGCCGGGAGAGATCGAGGAGAGACAGCCAGGGAAGAGAGGGTGGAGACACAGCCTGGAGAAAAAGGCAGGAGGATGAGTGAAGAGAGACAGCCAGGGGAAGAGAGGAAGGAGAGACGGGGAGGAGAGACAGCCAGGGGAGAGAGAGGAGAGACAGCCTGAAGAGACAGGCAGGAGGATGAGTAAGGAGAGACAGCCAGGAGGATGAGCGAGTAAAGACAGCCTAGACAGAGTGAGGAGAGACAGCCAGGGAAGAGAGCCAGGAGAAACAGCCAGGAGAGAGAATTAGGATAGACAGCCAGAGTAGAGAGAGTAGAGACAGTCAGGAGAGACAGCAAGGAGGATGAGCGAGGAGAGAGCGAGGAGAGAGCGAGGAGAGACAGGCAGGGGAGAGAGCAAGGAAAGACAGCCAGGAGAGAGTGAGGAGAGATAGCCAGGAGAGAGAGTGAGGAGACAGCCAGGGGAGAGAGTGAGGAGAGATAGCCAGGAGAGAGAGTGAGGAGAGATAGCCAGGAGAGAGAGTGAGGAGAGATAGCCAGGAGAGAGAGTGAGGAGAGAGACAGGGGAGAGAGTGAGGAGAGACAGCCAGGGGAGAGAGTGAGGAGAGACAGCCAGAAGAGAAAGCGAGGAGAGACAGCCAGAAGAGACAGCCAGGAGGATGAGTGAGGGGAGACAGCCAGGAGAGACAGCCAGGAGGATGAGTGAGGAGAGACAGCCAGGAGAGACAGTCAGGAGGATGAGTGAGGAGAGACAGCCAGGAGAGACAGCCAGGAGGATGAGTGAGGAGAGACAGCCAGGAAAAACCCTGAAACCCAGACACCGCACATATGGGACTCAAAACCCCAACTGTCCGGGTGAATCCCGGACAGGTGGCAACCCTAGTGTGTAGCCACCCTAGGACAGGACGTATGTTATTGGCAGGATCATCAGATGAAAAAGCATGAAAAAAAGAAAACGAATGCAGCCACCACATGTAAGGAGCGGTGAGCAATACATTACATTGCTGGTTTTGGGTTTAGATTTGCTTTAAAATTGTTTTTGTAGGTAATGTTCTATTTTAGAAAGTGACAAGCTCCTACTCTAGCTAACTGAATGTCTGGAGCTACAAGGACCTTCATGAATTTTTCATCTCATCCTCTGTTAGAATTTGTTACGGTTTAGAATGTATCTTTTAGGGGGTTTTGCTAATTATTGTTGTATGTTCTTCTTTGCAGTGCTGAGCCTGTCCACCCTGCACAGTACAGCGGTGGGTGCAAGTTTCCCTGGTGTGAGAAGACCTTAGCGGATCACAAACATTTTCTCAGGTAAGACGTTCTTCATGGAGCTTCTACATCAGATTAGGGTACTAGGTCAGATGTCAAAATAGGGTTGTGTTCCTGACGCCCCCTGACACCGGGAGTGGACATGATCTCAAGAGAAGTGATCATTAAAGGTATCATAAATATGTGTCTGCCGGCCTCACACTTACTCGGGAGGGCACCTTAGACCTTAAAGAACCCCCAAGACAATGACTTGGACCATTAAAATGTGCTCCCATGGGCGGGGGGGGGTGTCTTTCATTTTATGAAGTTATGCAGTCCACGCTTATTAATAGGTAGATCCATGTCGGCTGAGTCAGCCCCCTGGCTTCTTATATGTCTTGAAGACTCCAACTGTGACATCTCCTTGTCATAATTCCCAACTGTTCCCATCTACCGGGGAGTAAAAGTTGAACTCTGGGGAAATTTCATAAAACCCTTGGTGTAGGGTTCCCCCTGCACTGCTCGTTTTTGTCTAGGGCGCCGTTAAAAATTAATTACCCTTCTCCTCTGACATTGACTGGTGATTTAAAGTGTATGTCAAGCCAATTGTAGGTTTTGGATAGAGCAAGGAAGGGTTAAATCCCTTGTTGGGGAATTTTTTTGCTTTCTCTGTACCGTTGAGGTCCCTGAGATGCAACAGGAAGTTAAAGGAAATCTTCCAAAGCGTAGGGATTGTCTAACCTAGTTGTCACCATCGGAAGACTTCCGCTCACCACTCTTGTAAAAACTCTAAATATTAGATTTCCCCTCCTTTTTCTCTCCTGGTGACAATGGTCACCTCTACAAATGGAGGGGTCACTATCCCCCAGTGTGGACTCAGGTCTAACGCTTCTCCACTCTAACGAATAGCTTTTGCCTTGTCCCGCACTTTGACTCTCCGGCATCTACCAAAAAAAAAAAAAAAAAATGTTTTGGTTGGGTCAACCCTTTAGCTGTTGAATGATTTTCACCATTTGAAAAGTTTGTTTGTAAT